CGGTTAGCAGATCAATGAATGAGAGGGCAGCATTACCAGAGTTGCCCATATACCACACCATGTTACAACACAATAGGGCTATTGCAGACAGAAACAATACTGTACTACATAGATGTTTCCTGTCGGCTCAATTTTTGAGTGGACTTTGCTGTTCCGATGAGCATGAACGGTATATGAGTGGAGCGACTGAGCGGAGCACACACACGCATAGAGCGGGATAATATGCAGAGCGTCACACCACGTGAAAGTGAAACCTGAGCGGTGAAGAACTCATTTTCGGCAGCCGGAATTTCAGTGCATCTCTAATTATTGGCGACATCAGAAATGGATATTAGATAATAGATGCTTTTTTGAACATTTTAGCAATTTAAAAATATTAAAAAAGGATTTTTTACACGGCACCCTTGCTCTCGACAGACAGCACCCCGGTTGGGAAACACTGGCTTAGACCACAACCATATTTCTATGGTAAATTACCTGGATTTTCCAAAAAATGCTTTTTAAATCATTGATTTACGTTGGTACAGCCTTTGCTAAATAATATGTTATGTCTTTTTCCTTATTTGCCTAAATGCCTTAAGCGCTAGAACCCTGGTAATCGCTGCTTACAGCTATACTATTTTAATAATAATTTACATAAAATGTTTTCAAGCTGCAATGCATGCTGGGAACTTGTGCAATATTGTTCAATGTAAAAATGTTTGTTCAGATGACTCAATTTGAAAAGTTAGGAGAACATTTGGATATGTTGTGAAAAACAACACTTGAGTATCTAAGTAAGGTAAACAAAACTTTTGCTAGCGACATGTTTAGAGTATTTCTGTTCGGTTCACACAACAAATTAAACTGACTCCAACTAAAAATTCTTTGCTCAGGCTACGTTTTTTTTTTTTTTTTACTTTTTTTAGTAAAACTTTTCGAAAGTTGGTTTTTTTTTTACAGTGCATGGAAAAACATCGGTTTCAATATCATATCTGTGATTTGTTTGTGATTTATTGATTGATTAATTGATTGATTCAACAATGCTTTTTACTGCCAGCTGGTATAATTACAACATCTATCAGTGGAGGCTAATGGGGCCACGCTAACCAGTAAAACCTTGACCCCTCGTATTGGCCTTGCCCATATCTGAATTTGGAACAGGATCAGCATTCCATCCAGCATTTACATCAAATTATTATTCCTATAGCTATGCATTAACATGGTAGTTATCCCTCTGAACAGTTTCCTGGATAATCCCATTTTAATGATTAAATAAATAATAATTGTATTTCATATTTTATTTAACTTAGAGGTATGACAAATGGTTTTACAATTCTCCTCTTGACACACCACATTAAAGGGGAAATATTCAGAACACTGTCATTTCTATTACTACAGTACATTAAAAACAGCCTCCTCATTTTATTTCTGCTCCTTAGATTGACAAGAACAGCTAAAAGCTTTCAATGCACTTTTCTTGCTCAGAAAGTGTGGCTGTGAGCATATCTCGGCTCTCAAGAACATTAATGGTTTCTTTTTCCTGTCCGATCTATACTGGCAGGTCACAGTCAACAGAAAGCCATGGCAGTTAAACTGAGGTAAGCAGTGTTGGAGTAATTCATTAAAGTTTTCCCTCAGCGATACCATACAATGACACTACACTCTTAAAAAAAGGTTTTTCAAGCAATGCCATAGAAGAACCATTTTTGGTTCCACAAAGAACCATTCAGTCAAAGGTTCTTTAAAGAACCATCTCTTTCTTACCTTTTTATAATCTGAAGATTCTTCTTTCGCCACAAATAACCTTTTGTGAAACAGAAAGGTTCTTCAGATGTTAAAGGTTCTTTATGGAACCATTTAGACAAAAAGGTTCTTCTATGGCATCGTGAAGCACCTTTATTTTTAAGAGTGTACCTGAAAGTGTTTTTCTTTCTTTAAATTTTTAATGTCTGCCTTGATATTTAAGTGACTCAAGAAAAGTCTGACCTAAAAGAGTAAAGACGGTCAAATAAATCACAGGATTTTCATACACTCTTTTAAATAAACTCTGGGTTTTACAGTTTCAAGGAAAAACTGTACATGACATTCTGTTTGACATGTGAGTTTTACAATTGCAAACTGATTCCTAGCATAATCTTGGAAGAGCTGAATGGGCTGGATATACATTAAACAACTCAGCCTTTGTCATCAGTATTACTCTTTTTTTCTCTTCTTGAAAGTTTCGACCAATAAGGCGCTTTGGGATTTGGGCTACACCGAGAAGACTCACTCAGCACATTAACACAATTCAAATGTTCAGTAAGCGGTAATCCTTTCGCTTGTTATAGCAAACAGGCCCAAACCTCAGTGCGGAGGGCAGATTGTGAACTGGAAGGGCAGCAGTATTGAGGGATTGGGATTAAAGGGGATGTGAGGCTGTAGCCAACGTCTCACTAGCTCGCTGAGATGGCCAAAGAAGTCAGACAAACCTCTCTCTCTCCTTGTTCATTAGTGATCTCTTGTTCATTAGAGTCCTCGGCTTCTTTTCATGTCCTCTCAGGGCTCATGAGGATGAATGGACCGCATCTGAATTACACTGAGACTCAGAGACTGGGCTGCTCTCTGATTGGAAAGGTTGAAACAAGTTCACTTTGGCCTATCTATCCTATATTTTTGAGTCTCTTATGCTCACCAAGGCTGCATTTATTTGATCAAAATGCAAAATACAATACAAAAAAAAAAAACTGTAATATTGGGAAATATGATTACAATTTAAACTAACTGTTTACAATTTTAATATATTTTAAAATACAATTCTGCAATGGCGATACCAATTTTTTTGGCATTCAAGAAACATGTCTTATTACTATGACAGCTGAAAACGGTGGTGCTGCTTAATATTTTATACTTTTTTTTTTTTAAATCCTTGATAATTTTGTTCTTTCTTTTTTACTGTATTACTGTATGAATAGAACGACTAAACTAAATAACCTCAAACCTTTGAATTTTTTTCTTTGAAGTGACTAAATGCTGTGCTGTAGCATGAATATAGTCACAGCTAAAGAATATGCAGCCATTCAGCTGTGAATCTTGCCTAACATTGACCTTTAGTCGTGACTATTCACAAGAAAAGCATTGGTCTTTCACATGGTATTGTAGTATAACAGTCTACATCTCATTTATCGCAAGACCTGTTCATATCATAGCTTCCTACTTCAGTTAAAAAAAAAAAAAAAGACACACACACACACACACACACACAAAACCTTATCCCTGGTATGGGAACTAGTAACACTAATACCTGATTTAATAATCACAACTAACGATCTTGTAATCGATAATGGCCAGAATTTTATATCGGCACATCCTTACCAAATAGTTCATAAATTATCTCCTGAGGTGGAGCTAAAATTTTATGAATTTATCAATATGAAAATATCACACTTTGAATTTTTTGGTAATTTTCTTGCCATATTAAAACTGAAAGATCTTCTCCTGCTATTTGATTGAATCTACTGCCAGACATCAGCAACTGACCAAATAAAATAGGACTTAACTGCCTCACTACTGCTGAGGGAATTTCCAAAGCAAACACTGTAACTGTGAGAAATAAGACAAGCACAGATGAACGTTACAGGTCTGAGATGAAGCCCACCTCGTTGACACAGAAAACTTCAGCAAATGTGATACAGACCACAGGTCAGTGCATAAGAGAAAGAAAACGGGTAGATGAAGATAACAGATGTGCAATCAGCTCACTGCAGAGCATTTTGGGAAAATAAGCTGTAGAGCTTGGATACTGAATATTCTGCCTGACAAGATTATGGTAAAGAGGTGCACCACTGATTTTGACTTTCAGATGTAATGCTGTATTCATGTTTTCCCGCATAATGTTTGACTTTAATGTTTCCATGCTAATAATATTGGTAACTTTTTACAATAAAATTCCATTTGTTTACATTAGTTTCATTAGATAACAAGAACTAACAATGACAATTACAGCATTTCTTAATCTTTGTTAATGTTAATTTCAGAATTTACTAATACATTATTAAAATCAAAATTTATATCTGTTAATATTTTTAATGCACATAAGAACAGCTGCATTTTTATTAATTAGTTGTCAGAGTAACATCATGAGAGAAAGAATGCCATTCCAGAGTGGAAGACATTTTGCAGATTTTAATGAAATTTTTCGGTGGAATAACTTTGACACAGATGTGTGCTATCAAAGTAAATAGTGTCAATTTTGATTTCATGTGGGCTTTAACTATTGGTGCCTTATTGTAAAATGTTGTGTTCACTCTTTGGCTTATAATTTTTCTATAATTTTTCCATATAAAATGCCCTATAATCCAATACTTAGACTGTGAGTTTTATTTGGTTAGCTTGGCTGATGGAAAAGTATATCCTTTGGAAAATTTAATTACAGTGCATGAGACATTCTGGGATTATGGTTTACATTAACCTTGAAAAGTGATTTTAATGTAATGGTAATTTTTCACTTCAGGTAATGGGAACGTCAAAGTTTCAATCATGGGATACTTCTTGAAAATCTGTTGGCTCTGGATTGCTACTGGGCTGCTCAACAATGACCATTTACCAGAAAGATAAAAAAATAATAATAAAAAAAAAAAAAATCTAAATCTAAAGCATATTTTTGCTCAGCTCTGCTGTTCACTTTGGCCTGCTGGAAATAAGTATGTATGTGTGACTGTGAGTTTTTCGAGGAGGTGGGGTGTGTTGACTATTAACAGTCGATGTAGGGTCCACTCTAATGAGAATGTAACCTGCTCACATCCACACTTCATTAACTCTGCAACCCAATTACACATTGCACTCTGATAGGTCAAACCCCCACTGCCTCATTTACATAATAACTCAATGGATACTGGGATGGGAACATGCTCAAAGGGAAAGGTCTGGCTGTTACACACAACCATACGCACACACCATGTCTAAGGCTAAATTACCAGTATTTTAAAAATAAATTTTAAACTATAAAATATTTAACCATGTTTTGTTAAAGGATTAGGTCATCCAAAAATGAAATCTGTCATCATTTACTTACTGACATGTTGTTCCAAACCTGGAATCTACTTGTTACATTTAACTAACATTTTGAATGTAAATAAATTTTTTTTATAAAAATTACACACTTATTACAACACCTTGAAGGGATAGTTCAACCAAAAATGAAAATTCTATCATTAATTACTCACCCTCATATCGTCCGTCTCGTCATTTGTCTCCTTTGCGTCACCCTATAGCGCCATTTTGGAGATTATCACATACGTAAACAACGTGCGACATATGTACGCAGATACGTTGTTTACACCCGCATACATACATTGCATACATTGTTTACAAATGTGATACTCTCCAAAATGGCGCTATAGGGTGACACGGAAGAGACAAATTCTTGAATAAAGTCATTATTTTTGTTTTCTTTGCGCACAAAAAGTATTCTCGTAGCTTCGTAAAATTACGGTTGGACCACTGATGTCACATGGATTATTTTAACGATCTCCTTGCTACGTTTCTGAGCCTTGATCATGTTAGGATCCTTGCTGTCTATGGGAGGGTCAGAGAGATCTCGGAATTCATCAAAACTATGTGTGTTCCGAAGATGCAGTTTTATTCATGAGTTTGGAAAGTGATTTATTTGAATTTCTATTGTTACATATAATTCCTTTTTTTAAACCTCAATTAAACTGTTTCAGAAATGTCTATTTATTAGTCAATCTGAAAAGTGATTAACATTTTTTTCTGGAATTAATACATTAATAATTTATTAATTTGTTTATTTTTTAATAGAAACTTTCTAAAAATTGCTCCTTCCATTGAAGCTCCAATTTCATTAGAGCTCAGATTCTAAAATGACATTTCTGGTTTCTGTGAAGGGGATGCAGTCAAGTTTTTCAAGCAAATAATGATATAATGTCCTTCTATTTCTCATAAAAAGCAATCTTTTGGGCTTTAGAAGACTGCAGCACACAAGCCACAAGAAATACACTATGAACTGTGATAATAAGGAAAAGAACTGTGTGAAGATGCTTCCGAATGAATGAATGATTGAATGAATGAATGAATACATACACAGCATAAGGGTTTAGAATGGAAATGGGAGTCAGTAAATAATGACGGAAGTTTATTTTTGAGTGAATTATGCCTTTAAATGACCAAAATAGTGAAGGTCCGTCTAGGACTGATACAATTCTACCAATCTATTCCTTTTTAAATACTTTGACGTTTTTTCTGCAACACGGCCAATTTTTCCAATATAGTGTTTTCTGATTTCCATAAAGCTCATCATTTTCTGGTAATTCCATTGCTTACCGAAGTCAGAGCAGAAAACCCAAGGTAATAAATGAATCAACCAAACAGAGAGTGAGGAAACTAGAAGGCTCAGAAGCACACTTACCTCTATAACTTCAAAGATAGCAGGCAGGAGACTGCTCTCTCTAACAAGCCTGTTGGGGGAAACACACACACAAATACACACATTTAGCTTGTGACACACACATTTACTTCATGGCACTAGGCCCACGTTCCATCTTCATTAGTGTGACACTTGTGCATGCATTTGGGTTTTGGCACTGAACGGGACTGCTGAGGTGTGAACGCTCCATCGTGCCAAGATCAGTCAGCTGGGAAAATGACCTTTGACTAATCCAGTGACGAGTGAAAAAGAAAGAGAAAGCATGCCGCTGAAAGGATGAAAGAGTGAGAGAATGATGGAGGGAGGAAGTCGGATGGAAAACACACAACAATGTATTAAGAATGAGAAATAGAGGACCTGTGTATGCAAACCTAGTGAGCTGCCTAGCTAAAAAGCATTTTTGGAAATCACCGAACAAGATTATTCGATTATAATGCTCAAAAATATTGTCAAGAGGGAGGCTCCATCAGGCTCAAATGTTTAAACATGCTTATGATGCCCAAAAAGCTGTGGTTGCTAGAAATTCACCGTAACCGTACAGTGATACTGTTTCAGGTATTATTCAATGTCGTATCGATGCCTGTATTTTTTTACAAATTTCATTAAGCGATATAAATGTTAATATACCATGTAACTTTTTTCTATTTTTAAATGGACTGATAACAGCCATAATAATAAAAGATGGTTGTAAAACAGAAAGCCACATGATAAATCAAGGTGACTGTAAACGGTCTGTCCACACAAAGAAAAAAAAAGAAAAAATCAAGGTAACAAATAAAGTAATACAATAAAACATTAACCGTTTACTAGGTCTGAATACTTGAACATCTAAAATAAATGCTATGTAGGAAGTTCAAATTGTATGAAAGAAACGTTTGAACGGTACTATAATGGACAAAAATGCTGTCTCATTTGAATCAAATGTTTGAAAGTGTGTGGTTACTAATATGCACTTATTTAGTTTATTAAATCAAATATTCAAATACGCTTACAGCTACAAAATGCTGACTAGGTAGGCAGTTCACTAAAGTTTAAATCATTTAAATAGAATGTACATACGTGTCTATATGATGCATGAAACTGCTGACACGGTAGACAGCTCACTAGGTTTGTATGTAATTATGATGTCCAAAACAGCTGACTATGCTGGCTACTCACTAGACTACTCACTTCAAAAACATCTTGGTAGACAGTCCATTTGGTCTGAATGTAATGTCTGAAATGCCCAAAATTTTTGTCTAGGTAGGCAACTCACAAGGTGTTGAAACAGACAGAAAATGCTCCAGACAGCCTGGCTCAGAGGAATAATGGAGGCCTTTATTGAAAATGACTCGTCATGCTCTCTTATTGATTAAGGTCTTTGATTCACAGCCAATTACCATATTAAAAAGGTGTGTAGAGAAGAATGCCACAATAATCTGAGAAAAGGACAGACTGATAAAATGAAATTAGCTAAAGGCTTACATTTGGAATACTTACTGTGCCCTTCCCAGTCAATACAGTGATATATGACATAGCGCTATAGAGTTATTTGGCCATTCTCCCCTGAGTGTGTCCTTTATGGAGGATATGGTTTCTTTGAGTGAGAAAGAGTGAGAACTGCCCAGAACCTGAGATAAGGTGAATGCGGAGGTCTATATGAGTAAAGCCACAGGTAGAGAAAGAATTATCCTCTTTGTGCCTGAAAGTCAGCACAGCTCAAAACCTGGGATTTAGGGATTTTTTTAGGTTAAAACAGGGTTTACTGTGCCAAAATAATTGTGTATCTTGAAGGAATTGGGCAAACCTAATCAACACAACCAGAAATAGGAACAACAATGATCTTTTGATAGTCAAAGAACTAATGAAATTAGCTTTGCATTTATTTAATAAAAAAATACAGTAAAAATGAATTAAAAAAATTATAATTTTATTAGAACTTCAGTGTCATATGATCCTTCAGAAATCAATCATTTTAATATGTTGATTTAGTGCTTATATAACATTTTTAATTATTTTCAGTTGAAAACTGCTATATTGCAAGAATTATATATATATATATTTTTTTTTTAATTCTTTGATGGCTAGAAACTAAGTAATATATTTGTGAGGGTGTTTGTGTGTAAGTACCTGGTATTTTCTATATTATGGGGAACAAATGACCCTACAACTTTAGTAATACCTTGTTTAGCAAGACCTTGTGGGGACATTTGAGGAAGTATATGCGGTCCTATGAGGAAACAAGCTTATAAATCATACAGAAGGAAGTTTTGAGATAATCTAAAATGCAGAAGTGTGAATGACCCATTACCAAACAAAAGTCATTAAAAGAAAAATGCAGGGCTCTACGCTTACTTTTCTTTTTAGGAGCACTTGTGCGGTGGTGTATTTTCAGACATTTAATGAGGCTCAGAGGTGGCATGAGTGCAATTAAATCCATAAATTCATGTTGAGATTAATGTTTTAAATATAACATTTTGAATATAGAAATATTAAATTATTTAAATAACTGAAAAGATACTTTAAAAATGAAACTGAAACTAAAACTGCCAGCAGGTGGCGGCAAGTCACTGATTTTATCACTGAATCATTAGTTCAATTGATTCGTATGAATGGCTGATTCATTCAGGAACGAAGCAAGTGACTGTCTTTATGAATGGGTAAAAATGAAACACCGACTCACTAGATTCGTTTAAAAACGCACGTTCATTCATAAACGAAACACCGCTGTGTTTGAATGGAGATGTGCAGCGGCTATTCCTCGTGCCTCAACTCGGTTTTGACCAAATCTTAGATTGTCTGATTCGGTCTGATATCCTACAACTGTTAGACATTTCTGTAATTGTAACTGTATACAGTTATTTACTGTATACCCCCCAGTACAATACTGCAAATTCCATTTACAGTAAGTAACTGTAATACCCTTTGCATCATGGGAATTTTATGTGACGTCAAACTCCACATACAGTGACTTACTGTATTTTTAAAAATTGCTGTATACTACTGAATTTGCCGTAACGGCCTCTGTGGCGCCATTCCATTGAGGTTGTTTTATTTTCCTCACTTCTTACATTTGGATTGACAAGATTTGTCCTGCACCATGTCTACAACGCCGCAACAGCTTGGGACAGACTATACTGGACGTGTTGCATCGCTTGTAATGATTGGCAAAATACGTTTTGTACGTCAAAAAAACTGTACGTCAGAAATATACCGGGGCATCACTTTACTGTTCGCATCCATTGTAGATAGTATCGCTGATTATAATGGGTTCTATATGGTCTTTTGTCGTGTTGCGCCATGCCGCTCGCATCCGAGGAAGACACGGAACCCATGGGGCAGCACCGCGGGTTTTGGCCGGGGATGAACCTGCAAGAGTGGAAGAGTGTATCGATGCACCTTACGAGAGAAGAAGACCTGCGAGCAAGGTAAAATATATGTCTGTCTGTGTGTTTTGTCAGAGTTTTGCACACCAGTTAACAAATTACCCGTTAACATTGAGGTAACTTTACTAAGGTCCTTTCAAACAACTTTGTCAGCATATTGAATTAACATACCGAATTAAAATGATTTTTAACGAGCAACGCTTATCTTATATTAACATTAAGTTAACTAATGTGAAATTTTGTTCAGGTGTTAGTTAATGTTGGCCAGTAGCCTATTGAGAAAATAAAACCATATGTTAGCAAGGTTAAACTAGTTTTATGGCTATCTGCCTTAGTTTGTTACAGTTTTTAAGGGAATTTAAGTTTTACTGCATTTTTTGTATTTGTGTTTTAAAGGCAGCTGCAATGAAGCATCAAGAAAGACATGAGCATGCCAACCACCCTGAGACTGATAATTCAGGTAAGAGAACAAATATGGTTTTGAGAGGTTTGTGTATTCTATATGGTGTTTGTCTATGGAGAAGTGTGTCATTTCTACTTTTTGTTTTTCAGGGAACACATTTCTGTCAATAACAAAGTGGATGGTGAGCAAAGGTGGTGGCCATGTTTTGGAGCAACACCTGGGTTTTGCAGACGGCTATGTATTTCTTTTCCCATTATGTTTTTGTTGCCTATCTTTGTGAGGATAAATCCAGAGAATACAACAATGCACTGCAAAATGTCCTAAGACAGGAGAAATGGTCCAAATGGCTGCAATATAACAAAGAGTGAAAAATTTAAGGGGGTCTGAATACTTTCCGTACCCACTGTATATATATATATATATAAATCTAATTAAATCTATATTAAAATAGATTAATTACAGTAGTATACTGATGAATTTGATTTTTTATAGTAATTAACTGTAAAACGGTAAAGTTTGCCAATGTAAATAAAATACAGTTTGCTACTGTAAATCTTAATTACAGTAACATACTGGCAAGTTACTGTAAAAACCCTTTGAAATGTCTAACAGTGTATCACATTTACAAACTCCCTTAAAAATCATTAAAAGCTGTCACTCATCTTAGTTCATCGTGATCTCACATTTATAATCAACGAAGCGCTCTACACTGCACAATGAATCTCTTATTTACACCGTCTACACTTTGCTTATGAAAGGATTCATGAGATATGTCTTTGATTCATTACTCAATGCTGCAAAAACACGTAGAAACCTTTGAAGCTCCCCTGAGCACAATCACAAATATGATGAAGCATGGTGGTGGCGGCATCATGCTGTGGGGGTGTTTTTCAGCTGCAGGGACAGGACGACTGGTTGCAATCGAGGGAAAGATGAATGTGGCCAAGTACAGGGATATCCTGGACGAAAACCTTCTCGAGTGCTCAGGACCTCAGACTGGGCCGAAGGTTTATCTTCCAACAAGACAATGACCCTAAGCACACAGCTAAAATAATGAAGGAGTGGCTTCACAACAACTCTGTGACTGTTCTTGAATGGCCCAGCCAGAGCCCTGACTTAAACCCAATTGAGCATCTCTGGAGAGACCTAAAAATGGCTGTCCACCAACGTTTACCATCCAACCTGACAGAACTGGAGAGGCTCTGCAAGGAGGAATGGCAGAGGATCCCTAAATCCAGGTGTGAAAAACTTGTTGCCTCTTTC